CCCACTCTGCCCAACGTGTGGCCCGCCCAAGCCACCTCCAGGGGCTTTTCCATGCACATGGCCCGTCTTCGATCCTGCTACAGACTGTGCTAACATCTCTCAGATGAGCAGCACCCGGCTCCAGCGTGCCCGGTGCCTCTCACAAAGTGGCCCGGGCCCAGCACAGGCAGCAGCCAGTCTCAGTGTGCAGCCTGGCCTCTCCTGGGCACCCCTGAGTCCAGCACAAGTAGCAGCCGTCTGCAGATCATCCTGTAGCTCACGCTGGGTGGCCTCGGGCAGGCACGGGTGGCAGCTGACCTTGGCCTGCACCTCCCGGAAGGCCCCAGAGCCAGTACGCCAGGTGGAAAGCTTCAGATCACGTCAAAGCACCACCCAGCCGCCTCCACAGGCAACGCACTCAGCAGCAGACTCACTGAAGTATCAGTAAGTCCCGCTCTGTGGTGTCAGCCCCTCCACGGTGGTCTCAGCAGTCCTTGCAGCTGATAAGCCTGGGGGTGAAACCCTTCCGTTAACTTGCCAACAACAATCGAGGCTCAACTACAAGAGAGGGGTGTACATGGCCCACACTGGGGTGGGGGCCCCCCTGAAGCACCCGGCTCAGGCGATCGGGAGGCCGTGTCCGTGGACCCTGCAGGAAAACCACTACGGAGGACCACTCCACCAAGCCTCAGCGATGTGGCCGCTCTGCCTAATGCATACAGGCAAACACAGGGAGGGGGCCAGGACGAGGAGAGGAAGAAATACGCCCCGAATGAAAGCACAGAACAAAACTCCAGAAAAGAATGAAACGAAAGGGAGACAGCAATCTACCAGATGCAGAGTTCAAAACACTAGTTATAAAAACGTCCAATGAACTTAGGGGAAGGGTAGGTGAACTTAGTAAGAATGTCAACAAAGAGGTAGGGATCATAAAAATGGAGATATGGAACAGGAAAAAGAGCCAGTCGGAAACGAGGAACACGTGAACTGAAGTGAGGAATGCAGGGAGTCAACAGTAACGTGGGCGGGGCCAAGAAGCGAGTCAGAGATCTGGAAGACAAGGAGGCAGAAATCACCCAATCAGAACGGCAAAAAGAAAGCCAATCCGAAGAAATGAGAACAGTGTCAGGAGTCTCTGCCACAACATCGAGCATCCCGATATTCTCGTCACGGGGGTGCTGGAAGGAGCAGAGAGAGAACAAGAAACTGGAAACCGATGAAGAAATAATGACGGGAAACTTCCCCAGCCTGGTGAAGGAAATAGACTACAAGTCCGGGACGCACGGAGAGCCCCAGAGAAGGCAAACACAGAGAGGCCCGCACCGAGACACATCATGTTGTAATTAAAGTGCAAAGGCTGAAAACAAAGCAAGTAAAAAGTAGCCAGAGAAAAGCAGTGAGTTACCTACAGGGGAGCTCCCACGAGACTGTCAGCTGATTTCTCAACAGAAACTTTGCAGGCCGGGAGGGATTGGCAAGAAATATTCCGAGTGACAAAGAGCAACGCCCCACAGCCGAGATGCTCTGTCTGGCAGAGAGAACATTTTCAATCAAAGGACAGACCAGGAGCATCCGAGACAAGTAAGAGCTAAAGGAGTTCCTAACCACCAAACCCGTGTTACAAGAAATGCCAAGGGTCTTTTTTTTGTGATGATGCAAAAAGATAAATAATGAACAACAAAGTGGCAATAAATACATACTTTATCAACACTTACTTTAAATGCAAATGGATTAATGCTCTATTCAAAAGGCTTAGGGCTACTGAATGAATAGCAAAGCAAGATCTTCATACTTGTTGCCTGAAACAGACTCACTTCAGGTCAAAATTATCCACACAAATCTCCGTTTTTACCACTAGAGTACTTCCCCTTGCTTTCAGATAGCCAACCTCTGTGGCTCTGTGCCAGGGAAGCTTATGTGAAATAGAGATATAATCTTCGACATATTGTGTTAGCATGTCCCTTTCCACCCTCCTGGTGCAATGAAAATGTCTTCTAAAATACTGAAGAAAGAATAGGAAAAAATCAGTCTTTATTATTATTTATGAATGTTAGCAAATTCATCAGTTTACATGTTCCAGTAGTTTTACACGTGAACTCTTACTCATCCGAAAATGTCAGTCGCTTTGTACAGTTTGATCTCAGGTGGGTTTTCAAAAAGTAATTTCTGCCAAACCAGGTGTGGTGTTGGCAGAACTGGGAATTCTCACGTTTCTTCAACATTTTTGTTTAATTACACTGCATAAAACTAGGGCTATGATTAGGTGGTTTGGTAACATCTACATTGTCTCAGATTAAGTTTTCTTACTATATTTTAGAATCTCTTATGAACAAAAAAGCATTAAATGATTAGTTGAAATATTCATACTTCGGATCATGTGATAAAATTTCCAGTTAGAGTTAAATATCTGGATCATATATCCTAGATCACTTGGGAGATTTACTGTTTCATAATCTATTTTTAAATAAAGTATAAGCCAGTTTGGTTACTAGTTTGGTTATTTTCATAACTCATGTAACTCTAACTTTTTTATTCTTATATACAGTTTTGCATATGGATCTTATGAAAACAAGATGGATTCTTACTTAGAAATAAAGATGATCTCTACAGATTAAATTTCGATTCATAATAAATCGATCAGCGCCTCCCAAAGTGTATTGTGCCTACCAGTCACTCAGCATGTTGCTAAAACGCAAAGGTTGAGTCACGGTTTGGGAAACAACCTCGTGTGACGGTCCTCAGGGTAACCGAGCACAGCCCAGCGGGAGCTTCTCCAGCGCCGCGGTTCCCATGCAGGGCTGGTCTGCTGCGAGCGAGGCCAGGTCACGGCTCGGGGGAGGAGGCAAGAGCTGGAGACAGTCGGACGGGACTGTCCACCTTCTCTGACATGTGTGAGCCGTTCGGTCTGGGACAGACCGTAACTCTGCTCAGCCGGCCTGCCTTCTCGGTCCTGTACGCGCTCCCGGGCGCTGGGTAACCGTCGATTACGATTTCAAAAGAAACGCCCGGTGCCCATAAAGGCAATTCCAATTCCATGTAAGCAGAGTCATGGAACAAATTCTAAGATCCAGAGAAGGGTGACACCCAACCGTCGTGAGCGTGAATCACTCCTTCCCAAAAGTTAAGGGGAAAATTACACGGCATACGCACAGCGGCATTACTGGCTGGCGCAGTAGTCCGATGGCCTTCGGGTAGCAGCAGATATATTTTCTGTTCATTCAAAATGTTTTATTAAGCCCTGGCTGGCGTAGCTCAGTGGATTGAGCTCGGGCTGCGAACCAAAGTGTCGCAGGTTCGATTCCCAGTCAGGGCACATGCCTGGGTTGCAGGCCACGGCCCCCAGCAACCGCACATGGATGTTTCTCTCTCTCTCTCTTTCTCTCTCCCTTGCCTCTCTAAAAATAAATAAATAAAATCTTTTTAAAAATAAGGTAATTTTAAAATAAATACATACATAAATAAAATGTTTTATTAGACAAAATGTCAAGGTTGTATGCTGCTGACCATTCCTAATCACCGCTCAGTTCTGGAGGTCCACCATGCACGCCACACTCCCCGCTCTGACCCCTTCTGATTAAGCCAGAGAGCGCGCGGCGGTCGGCCGGGTGCGGGCCGCACAGCACCACGGCCCTGCTGCTGTGCCGGTAACTGCACGATTCAGTCGTTAGTGTGAGTGGGGACCAAGAGACCAGACATCCCAGGGATTAAATAAGACATCAAACGCCTGCTGTTGGGAAGCCCTCCAAGGTCGTGACTTTAAAAACATCCGAGGATGCGCCCTGAGCCGCCCGAGCCCAGCACGGCCCCTTTCCCCACCCTGGGGACCCAGGGCAGCGCCCGTCCCCGGTGAGAAGCCCGGCGGCGACGGCGGCAGCCGCTTCCGTACAAACTGTGGGCGGCGGCGGGCGCTCTCTGTGTTTCGAGTCGGGTGATTAATCATACCAGCTGCACCGCACGTGACGCGTGTTCGAAACGGGGGCGTGCCCGCCTCGCGCCAGCTGCTGTCCTGTGCTGGGCAGTGGGTGCGGTGTGCGCAGTGACGGCCTCCCCGCCTCCCTCGCCTTCAGCGCGGTTGGTGTTCAGCACTAGCTCGCGTCACTCATGTCGGCGCCGTCCTCGGGAGCCACTCGTGCTCAGGGCTGTGGTTCGAAAGGTCGGGAGGTGAGGTTGTAAGACACAAAGCCGGGCACACGCTCTGTGTTGCATCTGTGTGTGTGCACATGCGTGTCCTCAGAAAAACGCTGGACGGGGGTTTTGTCCAGAAACCAGCCTCGGAGTTTCCTCTGTTACAACCGCATTCTGGTGTCTGCTTTCGACTGCTTCCGCGTTTCAGGGAAAACATAACACGGCTCGTTTTTTGAAAGAGCGGGACTTCTTAAATGGCTGCCCCTCCATTGGGAACTGGGTGCTTGCACAGGTTTTAGGGACGTTTAACGAGGTCTGATTCATGAAGCCGTCCTTCTTTCCGCTCCACTGGGCCATGCAATGGGGGGGTGGGAGCTGCGGCTACAGAACCGTGTGGGTGTCCGTCAAGGCTCTGGCACCGGCAGAGACGGCCGTGAGAGACCAGCACCTGTTGTTCGGGGGTGGGCGGGGACAAAAAGAGCAGGTGTGTCAAACCGCAGACTGTGCCACGTGAAAACTGGCTCCCGTGTCCCTAAGGCCACGCTCAGTGTCCCCCAGAGAGCTGGCTTTTCCAAACGCTCAGTGGCCGGCTGCATTGCTCCCAATCCGGCATCCCCCGGGTTTGAACGGGCCCTGATGCGAGCAAGGCCCACGCTCGGGCCACGGCACGGTGACCGTCAGTGCCGTGTCAGGACACGGGCACACGGGCCGCCCACGTGTTCTAACACGGGGACTGGGAGGTGGCTGGTGATGAAGAGCTCGGGGCCCACAATGGGATGCCGGCGCACCGACACCACCACACCCACGGTGTGGCCCCGCGTGAAAACGGACACGCGGTGGAGAAGACGTGGGTCTCCAGGGGCCTCACCTCCACCCACCCCGCGTCTCCCCTCCAGGGTGTCTCTCTCGGAGGACGGCAGCCTGGAGATACGCAACGTGACCAGGTCCGACGCGGGACCCTACACCTGCGTCGCGACCAACCAGTTCGGCTCGGCCAAGAACATGGGCAGCCTCGTCGTGAAAGGTACCCGGGCCCTCGGGGGGGGGGGGGGGGGCTGGGAGCCCGGGAGCTGCATGGGCGCCGCGCACCCTCCTCACGGGTCACACCCGCATCCCACTGCCCGTGGGCAACCCGTGAGCCGCGTCCCGTGTTCACGAACCGCATGTGCCCTCCCCCGGGGGCCTCCCACAGCCCGCATGGACACGCGTGAGCACTTTACAGGCAAAATACTATCGGTGGGTAATTACACAGAATTATAACCGGCACTTAAAGTATCGGAATCTTCACAAATGCCTCTGTGTGTGGGGGGGGGCGGGGGGGGGTTGCCGTGGACTCTTCGATAAAGTCGAGGGAGAATATTCCTGAGAAAGTCTGATTTCGCGTGACATTTCTGCCGGGCACGAGGCTGTTAGGGCCATAACCGGTTTGTGCATCCCTGCGGCCCCAGGTGTGGGACCAGCGCAATGCAGACTCTCTCGCTCACGCTTTAATAAGCAGCTCTTTCCAAAGAGGAGAAAACCAAAGCGTTTGTGTCCAGGCGGGTCCCTGCCGCAGTCCCGTCACGGTGAACAGGGGCCATACTGTGGGGGGGGGCAGGACCGAACACCCCGCTCTGCAGACCTTTGAGGGCACCAGCCCCCAGGCCCAGGGCCGGGGAGACACAGTCAGGGTGAGAAGCGTCTCCCCCCGCCGGGGCCACCCTGCCACACCGAGCCCCCGAACCAGCACGGTCACCGGAAGCCGAGTCACTCGGCTCCTTCCGCTGCCTCCCGGACGACAACAGCGACGGTCTTGATAAAGGAGTGTAAGCGGCTCACGAAGCCCAAGTGATTAGGTTCGGCCACCGGTGCTTGATCGTCATTCTTTATTAAAAACAAATGTCTTCGATACCAAGGGGTTAGCGGCTGCACTTCGACGGTCCTGCCCGCTGACCCGGGGAACCTGGACGCCCCCGTCCCGGCCCGAGGCTCTGCCAGCGCCATCTCCTCGTCACGCTGACGTAGGCTTGGTGCCCCGAGGAGCGTGCGTGCCCTGCGCCCAAGGACAGGCGTCTGTTCCTCCGGCCGGAGTCCGGGAGCGCCCTGTGCTGGCGGCGAGTGTGGCCACTTCCCGCGGGAGGGAACGGCGTGCGAGTTCAGTAAGGGAGAGAAAGGGAGGCTCTTCGCCCGACTCCAGATGCAGAAGGGGCGGAGGCTTCGTTCACGTTCCTCGTTCGCGCGGCACACGGTTCAAGCACGGCGAGGACCGCAGTCCCTGCCACCCGCCCGTCTTCCCTGGGGTGGAGACGTCGGGGTGGGGGTTCCAGTGTGAAACGGGGAGGGCGGAGGCCTCCACGGCAGAGGGGCAGACCCTCAAAGAGAGGATAAAACACGGTAGAACACGGGACGTGCGTGCGCTGGGCCCGTGGCTTTGGGGCTCCAACGCACTGTTGGGGGTCCTTTCACGCCAGAGGTCAAGAAGACGCCGGTTCCAGGGTAGACTGAGCTGGTGAGAAGTTCCTCCTCCTCGCACGGGCCTCGGGCCTCCGGCGTTGTGCTGCTGCCGGCGAGCGGTTCACGGGAGAGAGAGAGAGGACACGCGCCGGGCGGGAGGACCTCAGGGGCAGCGGCCGGGCAAGCCAGGTGTGCGGGTGGCCGTGCATCCTGCTGGCAGGCTTCCTCGCCCTTAGGATGGAGAAGTGCCAGTGTGTTTGGGATCTTCCAAAAACCACACCCAGGTCCGCGGGGACTCGGCTGCGTTTGCGACTGTTCAACCGCTTTCTTCGCTGTTAAGAGCGCGGTCATCTGGTTGGTTGTTAAAACGTGTGTGTGTATGTGTGTGTGCATGCGCTCATCTGTTGTGTCCGTCTGGGTGTCCTTACACAGTCAAATGCCGTTTTGTTTCTCAACCCGAAACCAGCCAACGGCGGCCTCCTGGTGACAGGGCGGTCGGTAAAGGGCAAAGGAGCGACTTCAGCGAAGCTGACAGAGCAATTCAGGGCCCCTCTCCTTGCATTCCTTCGTCAGCCTGGGTCCCGCGAGACGGCCGTTGTTCAACAGCTCCTGCAGAGATAACAGTCACGCCAGCGAGACGGTTCCAGCCTAGTCTGTAGCGGACCAGGCTCATCGGGGTGAGGGCCGTTCTGAAGTGGTCCGCCCCGCCTGCCTGAAGTTTCTGTTCCATTGACGCAGCGGGGGAAGCCCCTCCCCACGCAGGCGCCACGCACACGGGAGCGCCAGCCTCGCCGGGGCCGCGGGGCCATCCCGCATCTCGGGGGGACCTCGTCCGCGGGCGCCCACCGACCGGGAGGCTCGGGGGAGAACGCCGCTGGTTTTCCCGCTGGAGGACGGGGGTCGACGTGACTGTGTGGCCTCCGCCGACGGGTCTCTGAAAAGCGCACAGGAGGAGAAATTATTCGGTCCGGCATTGGGCGAATTATTAAAACGCAGAGGAACAGCAGGCTGTAAAAATGATCTTGTTTGCAGGCGACGTTTGTTTCTGCCCCCCCACCGGGGAGGTTTCGGAGGTTCAATTACAGGCCTCATCGCCCTGGCGTTGCTTCCCGCCGGAGCGTCGGGCCTCGGGAAAGCACGTCTGATGTGCGAGTCACGTGTACCGCTCGCTGTTCATCCCGCGGCTTGCGCTTGGCGGGAGTCTCTGTTCTGCCAGCTCCGGTCGGCCTCCCCGTGCTCCGGGCGGGACAGCCCACAGCCTCCCAGTCGGTGCTCGGAGCCCGGCTTCCTGCCCTGCACGTGCAGCTCCAGCTCCCCCTTCCCACTTGCATCGGAAATAAGCAGGTGATCACGGGACTCGGTGGGGTGGTTACACTGTCAGGCATAAAAGCGCCAAACCGTTATACGGCACCCCTAAAACGAGTATGACCAATGTGACATCACGGACCAACTCGACTGGGATTAGAAGCAGCCAGCTTCCACATGACACTGTGCAAGAGAAAGAAACAATAAGGGAACCGAGAGCAGCTCTGGTCCGTGTGGCCGAGGGACCGGGATTCCGTTTTCTAAAGAGCCGGGCGGCTCCGTAGGGTCCAGGGCTGCCGTAGGAGCGAGTGTGCCCTTCCTGCGGACAGGGCCCTCAGGCCCCAGTTTGGTGCTCAGTCTGCGGACCCTGAGAAGTGCAGGAGGGGGCACCGGGTCTTCCAGGCGGCGGGGAGGCCCGGCCGGGGGAGACGAGCAACCGGACGAATCACACACACTCAGCCCGGGCGCCTCCTCTGGCTCTAACCTTCTCCTCTCGCTTCCCCTTCACCAGCACCAGGGCAGGAGCAAACACCCTTCTCCTAGCAGGTCCTGCGGGAGCGAAAGGAGGCCCCTGACCCCATCTCCGCACGGCGACGGAGTTCCCCGCCCCTCAGAGTTCCACCGCGGCGCGGTCTGAGCAGACGCTGGCCCTGTCTCAGAAGAACGAGCGCGGAGCCGTCAGCAGCCCCCCCGCCCCATCGAGTGTCCCAGCTCAGGGAGGAGCGGGTGGCGTGTCGGGTTCACTCAGCGGGGTCCACAGCCCTGCAGGGGACAGGTCATTCGGGGTCCGAAGACCCGTGTGTCCATCGCAGGCTCCGCCTGCCCAGGGCAGTGCGAGTGTCGCCTCGTGGGGTCCTCGGACAGGCTCCTCCTCTCGGACCCCTGGAACTGGAGATAATCGCCTTCTCTCGCTGAAGTCTTCATTTGTTCCTTTTGCTCTGGGCCTCTCGGTCTTTTGTGCGGGAAGAGGTCCAGCCATCGTGACTGTAACGAGGACAGTTTGTGTGACACCAATGTGACCCTGGCAGCCCAGGGGGGCGGACTGGGACGCACACGCGTGAACAATGACGACTTCTCTGTACCGGTCAGCGGGGGCGGTGGACGCCGGTGAGTGAGCGTGTGCACCGTGTGGCCGTCACATTCAACATGACTGAGTGAGCAGAGCCACGGATCTGCATCTAATTTTGCCTTCAGCTTGAACGTTCCTCTGCAGAAACTATTCTGATGATTGAGAAGGATTTTGGGGGACGATGCAATGAGTGCAGAGCACATACGAGTGCGGCACAGACGCTTCAGAGATGGTCCAGAGTGTGCTGAGAGCGACCCACGCCCCGGAAGGCCCGCAGCAGGCAGGACACCGGGGATGCTGAACGTGCACGGGCTGCCATCAACAAAGATCGGTGACCGACGGGGCGAGAACTAGAAGCCCATCGGGGGATCCCAGAAACCGCCGTGTCTGAGATTTTGCCGCAGGATCTTGGCATGACACGTGCTGAGGCGACATCCGTTCCGTGGTTCTGCGCCCAGAGCGGAAGGGGCGCCACACGGCAGGTGCTCGTGACGCTGGGAGAACCGTGTGCCGTCCCCTGGCGCCTCCGTCGTCGGGGACTGAGGCGTGGTTGTCCTGCGTGCAATGTGTCCTGTGTCTTGTCTCTTCTTCCATAAGTGTCTCTGTTCTCCATCGCCCGAGGCCGGGTCCTTTCCGCATGGACCTCATGTGTGTTCCGAATCGCTGAAACGTGGGAGCGGAGGAAGGGTGGGCGAGCTGGAATGTAGGGACCGCAAGGACCCCGCGTGCTGACACTCAGTGACACTCAGGGCCTGGGGGGAGGGGCAGCCGGGTGCCGCGGGGAGACTCGCACCCGGGCGGAGGGGACAGGCAGCACCTGGCAGACGTCGGCCCGAAGAGGAAAGGGATGTTGAACGAGGACCAGCGGCCCTGATCTTCAGTCCAGCCTGTTGCTGGCTCGCCGGGAGGACCCGGCCCGAGTCTCCCTCCCCCCGATCCGCGTGTGTGTCTGTCTGCTCCTCCACGCCGGGTTTACTGCGGAGCCTCGGCTCCGACTCCCGCCTGGTGTTTGCTTTCCCGCGTTAGTCATTTTCTTGTTTGCGCTGTTGGCTTCGTTTCCTGTGAACTCGACATTAATTCACTCCTCAAATCGATCTCACTTGCGTCTGCTCAAGATCAGCCAGCCCTGCACGTGGCAGCCAGCGCCCGGGCGCCAGGCCACTCTTTCCGGGTCCAAACCCTTATTTTGCGAGGCTGCCTCTCCCAGTGCGCTTCCG